CTTGAAAGAATCCTTTTTGGTTTGGTGATTAAGATGTGTGTAATGAAGAGATGTGTTCGTGGGAATTTGTGTAGAGACATGCATGTACGATCGTGTTTCTTTTTTCATGTACTTTTGTAAAGGAGATCATAAATAATTCATGTGCGTGGAGGAATGGTTTTTCGTTTGTGTAGGAGGATGTGTGTAATGGAGGGAAGATTTATGGGAGATAAGTGTTTGCTAGCGTGATATGAGGGAGTGTAATTGGAGAGGGAGGTACGTGATGAAATGTGATCGTTGGCTTTGGAGTCCGTGTTGTGAGGGTAAGTGCAGTGTCATGTGGAATGTGTAGTAGACGTGAGGGATGGTGTTGTGTATGTGTGTGTGTGTGTGTGTGTGTGTGTGTGGTTTTTTTTTTTTGTGAGGTGGAAGACCATCAAAAGGCGCCCATTAGGGCTGTGCGAGACTTTAACCCGCTAAAAACCACCTCTCCTATTCCCTACTCTGCGGCACGACCGTTTAGGTATACCTTCACAAGGAGGGTAGCCGTTTAGGCACTACTTAAAAGCCTACGATGACGCTCTTCGTGTCTTTGTTTACGCATAATGTTTGCGGCGAACATTCCTACCGCCTTCCATATTTTGATGTCATGCAACATATTTGTCACAAGATTGTCGGGGAGAGGTAACACTCCAATTTACGTCTGTAGTCTCTGTCGTTCGTTATAGTATTTCGGACAGACAATGAGAACATGTTCAGCGTCTTCGATACACTTAAAAAACTACATAATGGGTCCTGCTCTATTTTAAATCTATTCAGATAGAACTGAAAGCAACCATGGCCGCTAAATACCTGGGTCAAATAAAAGTCGACCTCATCATGTTGCCTATTCACCGAGGGCCGTAAGTCTGGTATGAGTCGATGCGTCCACCTACCCTTACCTGCTCTGCTCCAGCGCTCCTGCCACTCGTACAACAGACGCTGTTTTACTCGCTGCTTAGCCGCTTCAGCTGGCAGTCTGCGAAATTCGGCTCTATACAGACCTTCTTTACCACGCAGATCGATTGGCATCATACCAGCGATAACCAGGGCCGCGTCCTCCGACACCGTCCGATATCCGGCGCACACCCTTAGAGCGCATAGCCTGTATGCTGCTTGTATGTCCCTCGTGTATGACGGGATAACGAAAGCGTTGTTCCACACAGAAGAGCCATACATTATTGTCGCCGTTACCACATCTGCGATCAGCTTCCTACGGGCTTGCCTAGGGCCGCGCAAGTTTAGCAGTAAGCACGTCAACGACTTTGCTACCTTCGCTGCCTTTTCGGCCGTGTACTGCAAATAACGTTGAAACGAGTGTCTGCAGTCTATCATCACTCCTAGGTATTTTATTGGTTCTTGAGACTGTATTCTCGTGTCTCCGACTTGGATAGTCACTTTCTCAATTTTCTTCCTCGAAGAGATTAATACCGCTTCTGTTTTCTCTTCCGCCAGCTCTAAATCCACTGACCGCAACCACCTCTTGATCATGTCGGTGGTTTTATTTGCAGTAGCGGTAATTCCCTCTAGAGTTTTCGCCACGATAGTTATCGCTATGTCGTCTGCAAAACCCACGATGGATGCTCCCTCTGGAAGAGGTAATCTCAGGATATCGTCGTACATTACGTTCCACAGCGTAGAGCCTAGGACTGATCCCTGAAGTACCCCTCCAGTGATCAGCCTCTCCCTGCACCCGTTATCCGTAACATACCTCAGTTTCCTGCCGGTAAAATAACTAGCCACTATATTAATCAAATAATGTGGAAATCTTCTTTCCTGTAGGGCAGCTATGACGCAATACCAGTTTGCTGAGTTGAATGCATTTTTTATATCTAATGCTATTACTAGG